GCCACGAATAGTGGAGCGTGTCCTTAGAAGCCGCAAGGGTGCCGAAGACATGCTCTTGGGTACTAAGTGCCGCCACTGGCGTCCCACGGTGTTGAAAAACAGACGACAACAGCGCCCTGCAAACCAAGAAAGGCGAGTCCGGTGGGGGGTTTTACTGTCACTCCGCCTTGTATCCAAGTTTCTGTAGCGATTCGGCGCGCCCCATCTAGCCTGCAGCTATGCCAGCCATCCATGCCCCGCCTAGCCATGACCTCCGCATCCCTGGCCGCTGCAAGTCCGACGGAGGTGGAGGCACGATGGCCACGAGGTGCATTCTTTGAACTTCGTTAAACTCTGTCACAAGCCCAGCACAATGGAACTCTGCAATGTGTGCAACGTGGAACTACAAGGTTTCCTATTGGTTGATGTCTTCACACGGCGCTTGCTTTGCCCCGGGCCACATTGATGAAATCAAAGGCGGGCCTGATCAGCGCTTGAAGAGTTCATGATGCCATCTTGCACCATCGGAAGAATCATCTCTTTTAAGTGGCAAAGCTGGTCTCCTAGCATTGAAAATGAAGACTGAGCGTCTCACAAGCATGTGCTGCAAATTGTCAATAGCTCGTCTGGGGAGCAACGGGTCATCTGATGGCATGAGGCAGCACAAAAAGGTGAGTGCAGAAGTCGCAAAGGAACAACCAAATGCGCCCTGCCTGTGTGTTGATGAATTTCGGAGATATGGCCCGAACATCCTGCCAAATGACAAGAGGGAAGGTACCATGCGCAACATGTGCTTCAACTGTGCAGTTTCTTGTCAGCTCTTTTCGGTTATGCATGTGCCTTCGTGTCAGGGTGTTTGCTTGAAAGTTTGCCCTCCCTTGACAAGGTAGCAAAACATCAAACTCCAAATGCCCATGCTCAAAACAATCAGACCAAGGCACTGCAGATGTTTGCGTTGCTTTTGAATGACATATAATGTCAAAAAAACGAGAAAAGTCTGACTGTTGACATGTGCATAAGTCAGATAGAAGCTTTAAAAGCCCGCACAACGATGTCCTTGTTGGCATGTGCAAGCTCGGAAAGCCTTTGCTTGCTTGCAGCCCCTGCAGACATCTCATGGTAAAAGGTGTACCAAATTAGCATCGCAGACCTGCCTCTAAAGGATCCTGCGCCGTGCCCCACGGCATGTCATGCCTCGTGCAGACAGCCACAAACGCTTATAGCCTCATAGCGGTTTATTTCCATTCTGAATGCCAGCACTGCTGCGTCGAGCAGGCGTGCAAGAAATTGCAACGCAAACCGGGCACCAAACTGTGTGAAGAAGCTGCGTCATCGAATGAGCGCAGCTACATGGATAACAGTGTAGCAAAAGATATTTGCGTATATGTTTATGTATGTATACATAAAACCGATAGATAGATAGTTTGCTGAGCTTGTCTCTTGCGGTTTGCTGAATGTGGCTATTTCTAAGGTTGAGTTCTCAACGGGGTCTGCATACTGGGTGCTTGATACCTGATACTACAAATGTACAGATCCGAGTGTCTGCGAAGGCGCATACGATTGTATGTAGCGCAGCAGCTACACTGCATTTCAACGCGTCTCCATGGTTCGGCATGTGACGCTTGCAAGCAGCTTGTATGTGTATACAAGTACAATCAGAAACGTGACTAAAACCAGAACTTCTTACTACATGTTATGAACGCCATACCTATTCATGCACAGCATATATGACCAAGGAAAGGCTTGACTGTTGGCAGGTTCGGCGCGGCCAAGAGCTCGTATAACTTCCGTGACCCTGGCCTATTTCTGGCTTGCTTATAGTGACGATGGCCTTAGTTTGGGGATTCTTTAGGCCCATGTCCGCCTCAAGAATCTCAAAAACTACCTCCCTGCGTTTCAGAGCAGATTTCGGACTCCATCGCGAAGTTGTCGGCCTTTACGCGCCTGCATGCATGCATGCATGCCTGCAGGCGCCTACAACTCGTTTTGTAGACGCCGCATAATTTATGGGCCTTTGGCCCATTATGTGGCCATATCGCAGACAATGAGGCCTGTTAACGAAGTTTTCAGTCTTCACTTCTCAGAAAAGAGAAGCTTTGTATATTGTTAACCGCGAAAGTACTCAAGTTGGCCGAAGGCCAAGCCTGAGATTTTCGGCTACAAGCTGAAGCTTGGCTTAGCTCGATCACGAAGTGATCGACCCCCCAAAATAAATAGATAGCAAGCAGTTCTAAGGTCTATGTTCCTTATTTCCGTCTTATGAAGCCACCAGTATAAAAAAAAAACCTTCACTTTCACTAGTGTTTGTAGTAAGGTCCCATTTTACTGAAGTTTTCCGAAGGCAAAGCTTCAGAACATGGCTACATAAGCTAGAAACCTAGTCAAGACATAGACAGAAAAGGAAAATTACTTTAAACAAAATCACGACGACGTCTGGAAGGTGAAAAGAGCAGTAAGGTTAATGTAGTTTTCGGAGAAAAGAGGCAGTTATGCCTGTATTGACGTTATGTTCCGTCGAACAGGTCAGTTCTCAAGGTCATCGTCACTTTTTCGGAGTTCACCGTCAAAGTGTTGAAAGTTCACCATCAAAATATAGTTCATCATGACATGGCTAAAGTTAGGGCGCTTTAAGCAGTAAATCACTGTTGTCACGCTTGTTTTTGCATAGTTTTCTTATCGGTATTTCACAGGAAACACTGCTTTCGAACGTTCAGTTAAGCCTCTACGCCTATGAAGGGGAAGGAAAAATGAGCCTCTTTTCGCTTCTTTCTCTGAGTAAAGGCGTGTTTCAACGTCTTTTATAGGCTCAACAGTGTTTTCTCCAGTTTGCTTAGCTAAGGCCGAAAAAGGAAGAGTCGAAAACTGACCAGTTCTCTATTTAGAAACAAATTGCTTAACTTTGTCGTTTTCCTTACTTTTTGAGTTAATCTTCATTTTTCTGGTTTTAATGGCTTTTTAACCCTTTTGCTCGTCAAAAAGTCATTTACACGCGCAACAGTTCATCTTCACACTCATTTCAAAGACTTAAAGTTCATCTTCACACTAAGGCCTAAAGAAGAGCTCATCGTGATGAACTATTTGGTGGTAAAAAGAGTTCATCTTCATCAATTCTAGTGACGGATTATATCTTTCAATGGTAGGTGTGCCCTTCATGTGCCACTTCAAAGATATTTACAAGTAGTGCCTTCCATTCATGATTTTGCATCTTATTTTGGTCTAGATCATCCCCTACCTTTATATCTACAGATCTTCACAGCACATTGGGCTCATATACGTATAATATAGTATAATCTTAATAAGGATGTCAAGCAATCTTTATCACACAGCATCCAATCCTAACCATTCCCTCTGGATGAAAAAAATCCAATTCCAAGCATAGCTCAACCACACAACACTTACAATCCACGTTTCACCCCCACAAAGCTTAATCCATATTTCCATACGCCCACCACCTCAATCCTCATTACTTACTCTGGAGGTTTTTGCCAAGTCTACACTTCTGGATTTAACACCGTTAATCAAATATACAAGGTCACCATAATCCACACATGCCTGGCAGTGCTTCTACAACGTTGAATCAAAAGTTATGCGGCCATCTTCTTTGACCCCACCAAACTCAACACTTCAAACCCTAAGAAACACTTGATGTTATGCAATATCTTCTTCCCCATGGGCCGTACGACGTGATGCCCGGAATCCTAACGATGCGCTCAGAACTGGGCCAAACTGGATGCGGGTTCCATGGACCGGAAACTCGCAATGCGCATGGAAAACAGCAAAGCGCACCCTGCACAAGACTGCAACCACAAATCCTTGCAGCTGTGGATGTTCGAAGTGGTAAATTTAAGTCAAGTTCTGCGGACGTCTCAGAAGGTTTTGGAGCAGTCCTCCACGGACGAACCACCCTTCACGGAAAAGAGAACGGCGGCAGGTGTGTTTGATGATGTAGGTGGCTGCTCCGCATGCGTAACACCAAGCAGTTGCAAGGCGAGCATCCGTACCTGTGAATCCTGTGATCCTTCATTGTTCAACTTTTCTTTTGGCACAGACGGAATGCCCTTCAAAGATCCGTACAGCTGCGAAGTCTGCGTGTGACGTGAGACTTTGAAGTGCTGTCAAAGGGCAGAGGTCGGAGCCTATGAAAGCACAGGCCCATGAGAGATGATGGAAACATATGGAAACCATGCTCATCGCGGACAGCAAGGGCTGTTCGTAGAAAGGCCTAAGCCTTGAGGGGGACTCGGAGGTCGTCCGCGCCCAGCGAAGTGCAACATGCAGGACACGGAGAGAAACATGCCTTGCCAGCAGCACCGCAACATACCGCAACATTGCTAGACTCCTAGACATCTCCTGGCCACACATTGTTGGACTATAACATCCAGCATGAGTCTGCGCTCAGCCGCATGTTATCCTGGTAGAACGTCGGATATGCCGGCGTTCTGTTGCTACGGAGCGGTAGTTCTCCGTCAGGACGGTGGTTGGCAAGGTCATCATGCCATTGAGGTATTCGTTGCCACCCGAGCCTGAGGCACTTCTCTCCCAAAACGGACGCCATTGCTGCCATTTACCACTTTTGTTTTGGACAACATTCCCGGTCTGTGCAATTAAGCGTTTCATGCCAGATGTGACGGGGTTGTGTCCTTGGAAACTGCAATGTGAGACAACGTTTATCGGCCCAGGATACAACTAACTTTGGTCCAGCACTGCCTGTGCTGAAGTCAAAAAAGCAACAAAATTCCGTTAACCCGCGCTGGCTGCTGCAGTATCGCAAGCCTTTTTCTGTCACAGGTGCTGCGACCTTCAGCCAGAGAGGAGCTCTACGTTGGGAGTCATCGTTTAAACACTTGATGCAAAACTCCAACGCTACCACGCGGAAAAAAAAACGAGCCTTGCAGCAGCGTAGTCTCAGCCACTGCGAAAGCATGCCATGCTAGAACGCACGTTGGGAGTATGACGAGTGCAGGCTATGCCATCCAAACATGGTCTGCAGGGTGCAGGGAGAACAGCTGACACAGACCGTGCTATCTGGCTTTCATCTCGTTGATGGCATCACTGGCTATGCCGGCCTGAGATCAGCAAAAAAACTGGACACCATAGAAGCAAGCTTAAAGAGGCATCAAGAGGCCTGTACGAGTGCTAAGGTAACGTTGCACAACTCTGAGCCATGTCACGATGGCTTTGTCATCTGCTCGTGGTAAATAGTAGTACCTGGCATTCCAAAGCCTTCCACGTGAGCTGTCATACACGGCTCCAAGTTCAGAGGTGCCTTCCATTGGCACGATCCACGAGGGTTTTGGCAACACCGGAGGAGACGTACTTGTTCTCGGTATCGATGAGGAGGAACTTAAAACCTCAGTGGCACGACACCGGCAGCAAGTGTGTAAACTGTTTAAACACATCGGACCACTGACTCAACCAGCACCAGGACAATTGCGGGTCATTCTGCAAGTACAGGGCCACAGGCGGGCAAGGCCACATTCAACAAACAAATGCACAGACGCGACCACAACATTCAACAAAGGCGGAGGCGACGTTCGACAACTATCACAGCCACATTCAGCAAACACGGAACACACATCCACCGACAGGGAAGACACATTCAACAAACATCGTGGCAAACACTTTTCGAGACTATCACGGCCACAGTTATCTCGGCCCATCCGGTGTAAAGTCAGCTCAACCCCTGTGGCACAAAGTACAGGAAGGCAGATGAAGTCACCCCAGGCGGTGCCCATGTCAGCCCAACCACGGCGAAAACCGCAAGGGCACATGGCTTTGTGCGCGTTCATGCATTCTACTGCACAGTGGGTTGAGAGAAGACCTAAAACAGCACTTGCAAACGGTTTTGAACAGCCAAACGGCAATGGCACGACATGGTGTATATAAGGGCCCATGCAGGGGAAACATCCCTACCCACTGAACCCTTCCAGAGCTACCTTCCGAACCCCGACTGACCCATCTCGAGCCGAGCAGACTGGTTTCGAGGGATCCAGAACAGGGGCTGCGCGAGGTCAGTGCGAGTTTGCGCGAGGTCCGCGCGAGGTGGGGCTCAAAATTGCCAAACATCATGTTGAGCCTGGATATCACAACTCCAGACTCCAGGCAGTAACCCATCATCACCCGTGGGAGGCAACCCCCACCCTGAAGCCATGCACCCCGACGCGCAGCTCGCAAGTGCCCTGTCATGAGGTGTTTTGTTTGGGTTTACAGCTCTGAGTTCCAGGACAAGCAACGACCCCAAAACCCCAAAGCCATGCACCGCGGAACCCCTGCGGCACATGGCCACGACTTACCATGGCAGAGGTCGAGTTGAACCTACCACTAGTAGTGTCATCCAACGTCCAGGGCCCCATTAAAGCGTTTTGCAGTGTTGTTCATGGCTGCGACACACGGATTTCAGCGCGCATCATTGTGACCAATTGCTTCCAAACCAAACTGCAAACTCACAAACAACCGTCAACATCACAAGAGGAAGGAAAATTCCAAAGCCATGCTTTCAGCTTTGGTCGGGGGGGGTCTCGGCATGCTGGGCTCAGCTGCACGTCTGAGGCAACAGTGACAAACGGCACGACAGCAAGGGTATGGCAGCATTTCCGTGAATTTTGACCCGACATGGCTGCAAGACAAAGCAGACGAAGCAGCACGAAGCAAAAACTGCCCAGGATTTGATCATTTACTGGCGATGGCTGGGGATGGGAGGTGCGAGGCTTACGCTTTTGCCATGAAGCATGCCGACAGGCAGGTCCTGTAGGTCAGTCAAGTGGATGTGATTTGCTGGGCGCTGAGGTCAGTACCCAGTGCTCTCATCTTGTCTGCCAGAACATAAGCTTCCTCCTCAGATAGGTTTTGCGCTTCGCGGATCTTCGCGGGCACAGATCAGGGCAAAGGCTGTCAAGCCTGCAGGTCTTCCTTCGGCACTTTCTTCATCTTGCCATTCTCATCCTCACCGGGTGGAGTCCCATCATGAAAAACATCAACCTGTGGAACTGGTTGGCTCGAAGGGCAAGAACCCTGTAGTTGCAGAGTATTTCACGCCGTTTTGCATAATTTCTCCCAGTCCTAGACGAAGATTCATCAGACTCGAAGCCCGAGCCCAAAATAAGTAAACTTACGCGGGATTGGACCAGGGCAGATCTAGAACAAGTTGAAACAAGCGGAGCCTCCTTTTGCTTTAGTTTCTATCCGATCGCTGCCACATCCAAAAAGGGATACCCAAAGGGTGCGGACAAGCCGGCCAACTAGATTTTCAGATCGAAACAGCACGCACTGACGCATCCGAAGGACTCCGAAAGAAAGCCCAGGTAATCAGATCTCGACAGCTATTGCTCTGTGTTCCGTTCAGGTCTTTGCTACAAAAGGACCCGTGTCGGCAACACAACTAACTAACTATGCTTCACTGAACGAGTTTTGAAGACTGATCCCATGCTGGAGTCTCGAGGAGACAAGGTTGCCAGAGCTGCCAGATTCCATTGCCTTCCCCCCCCCCCCACCACCACCAGTCCAAGGCATTCTGGTCGCCCTCGCTCACTGCAAGGGGTACATTGGCACGACCATCGGTGATGGCCACACAGCAGACCTTCCGAACAGCAAGAAGCATGAGATCTCTTCCATGCATGCAGTTCGATTCTAGCCATTCTAGCAACTTTTCAAGCCTGTCCAACGTCGGAGCTCTTCATCGCATTGCTTCCCAAGATGATGGCCTGAAGATTTGGCATGTGTCTGGACTTTGGGTAGTGAGCTCATGGGGAGTACTTGACGAGCGTAAATTGCAGGTCTATAGCATGGTCTACACCCTCTACGACAGAAGGATGAAACTACCAGTCTTCAGCAAAAGATTCTCGCAGGTGTGGTTTTCAAAGTCATGACAGGAAAGACAGGCATTGCCCGGCAAGAGCCGGATATTGCTTCTGCAAAAAAGTGCCTGGGACAGCGCGTGTGCTAGCGGCGTGCCACCGCCACATGGTAAGACCTGCACAACAAACCAAATCTTAGCAACGAGGCTAGGCTGCTCTAAAAGGGCTACCCACCACGACGCTTCAGACGTTACTGCGCACACTGTCGCTGGCACACTGCCACGAAGGAACACCAATCGTTTGACACTTGCTGCGACTACATCATAACCGAACCATTGAAACATTACAGGCAGGAATGTGCTCAAGCATGCTACTCGAAAGGTTGCAAGAATGTATGCCATGATGGTGGGGTATCACATCGGTGCCACTGCTTGCTTGAATTGAGGTGCCCTCGTTGCCTTCATGCTGCCACTGGCACGTGCAACTGAGGAAGTTGGCTGAACAAGCACCTGCAAGAAGTCAATAGCTGTTCAATGCAGCAGGACTTCCTGTCACGTGACAAATACATCGATCAGAAGGACATGCAACATTCTGCAAAAGATTCCGAGATTACTCAACCCACCCTGTGGATGCGTAGCGATTGGTTCTTGCACTTGCTGTGCCCCAGCTGATCCCAGTGAACGCGAGTCTAAACTGATCGAGCAAGGCATGTCTTCGCTCCCAACATCCCTCATTAGCAACTGTTCGATTCGGAGCCGTTTGGTCTCGCTCACGACCCTCCAAAACACTACGTGCATTGTGCTTCAACTGGCGATCGCCCGTTAAGCTTGGACGAAAGGCAAAAGGGTGCAAGGCGCGATGTGACACGCGAAATCCCGAATCTAGAGGATTCGAGATTCTCGAGGCCTCCGCCGAGATGCCACGGCACGGAATGAGAGCCACCTGTCAATGCAACATCTTCATACGCTTTGACCTGCGGCCAACGTACAGCATCTACACAGCCTGGTCGCGGTTCTGGTATGCGTTTTCAAGCAGCCGGAGCACGGCTCCTTTTGCATTCTGCATGCGATTCAGCGCCATGGAACCTGATGCGGCTCCAGAATGGTGCCCAGCGCTCATTCTCTCACTCCTTTTTCCACACAAAATGAGCGAGGGGCCACTTGCGTCGACAACGAAAATGACAAGAGCACCCGCCTCAAGGAAAATGAGCAAATATGAGCAAGACAAGTCTCGAGGAGTCCTTAGCCTGTTGGCCTGCCTTGCGGGCCATCTTCTTCACCCAGATGTCACTTCGCTCCACGTACACGTTTCGTTGGTCCTGGCGGCTCTCGGTATCAGAGAAACGAGTTGACATGAGCGGAACTCGGTTTAAGAGAAGTGAGCGGAATCCCATGACCATTCCCCGGTTGGAGTCCCCTTGCCATCACTTGTGCCTTTGTGCGCCGTTTCTCTCTGTTTTGCGCCTCCGGCTTCAGCTTCTTGGCCGCCTCTTCTCTCCTAATCTTCTGGTAGACCACCGCCTCAGCAAGCTCACCCATCAACGAAACCTTGTTTTCTTTTCGGCTGAATGTGGTTTGATGCTGTCAAAGCGTTTTGCCCCCAAATTGCATGTGTTCGGACGTGTTCGGTCGGGCCTTGATCCGTACTTGATGCTCGGACAGGCGCTGCACACTGCACAAAGCTTTAGAGCTTCGGGATTGACCACCAAGTCGCTTGCTTATGTGCCACGGCTTCTGTGTTTTGTTTGCCATCGCTGCTGCAAGTCTGAAAGAAGTTATGCTGCACAACTGGTTCTTGATTCTTCCATTTGATGCCAATGGGACGATCGAGAACTGACCACTATCCAACCTGTGCAAAAACGATAGTTTCAGAATTTCCGTATCAGTATGTTTTCAGTCATTGCTCCGAATGGTGCATGATGATGCTATCAGCATCTACGGTACCCGGTATCAGCTGGAACCTCCACACTGGCAAGGTGTGTCTAACTAAGGTCCACGCATTTCTGAGTGTTGCATCCAGCGCGATTTTGCCACTCTTGGCATCACCACCCTTTGGTAGCATCGCCTGCAAGTGAAGCGGAGAAGCTTCACGAAGCTGCAATGACAGGGGGAGAAACTGCACCCTTTCTCAACTTGCAGTCCAGAAAAGTCCGGACTGTAAATGACTGCAGGATGTATGGGCTCTGCGTTGCTCTGCGTTGCTTGGCGCTGCTGTCCCGCACTGCTGCACGTCAGGGTTTAGGGTTTAGGGTTTAGGGTTTAGGTTTTAGGGTTAGGGTTTAGGGTTTAGGGTTTAGGGTTTAGGGTTTAGGGTTTAGGGTTTTGGTTTTTGGTTTTTGGGTTTAGGGTTTAGGGTTTAGGGTTTAGGGTTTAGGGTTTAGGGTTTAGGGTTTAGGGTTTAGGGTTTAGGGTTTAGGGTTTAGGGTTTAGGGTTTAGGGTTTAGGGTTTAGGGTTTAGGGTTTATAAACCCTAAACCCTAAACCCTAAACCCTAAACCCTAAACCCTAAACCCTAAACCTAAACCCTAAACCCTAAACCCAAAACCCTAAACCCTAAACCCTCTCTACCATATATATTTAAACCTTAATTGTATTTTCAGAATTTGGCCGCCTTATTTTCAGAATTTGGCCGCTTTTTAAAATAAGAATTTGGCCGCTTTATTTTCAGAATTTGGCCGCTTTATTTTCAGAATGAGCCAAAATCAGGCCAAAGGCAGAATTTGGCCGTTTTTCGCTTTCTCAATGTAGTGGGATTCTCTGGGTGGGTGGGTGTTTTCTCCAAGCCGTAAGTAAGCTTTACCATAAAACTGCTCGACCCGGAGTGCTGAACCCTAAACCCTAAACCCTAAACCCTAAACCCTAAACCCTAAACCCTAAACCCTAAACCCTAAACCCTAAACCCTAAACCCTAAACCCTAAACCCTGAACCCTGAACCCTGAACCCTGAACCCTAACACATGCTCCAGCATGAGCTTTGCAGAGTGTGGGCATGCTGAACATCTCATTACGTGCACTTCCTGCTTTTCTTGTCCACATTGGCCACCGGCAAGCAACTGACGCCACCGGGCAACGAACGAAAGTACATAGGTCTCAACTGGGTTTTCTAGACAGGGGGGCGTGGGGGCAAGGGGAGGTCGAAAAATCTCGGAAAAATGCTGCACCATATTGTGCCAGAAACACGTCATCCAGATGCCATGCGGCTCGCACAAAATGATGTCGAGACAACGCCAAGCCGCCGGCAAAACCAACTCCACTGCCCCTTAAGAACTCCTATCAACCCTCCCTGAAACATTACCTTCTGGAAACCCTACAGTCTTCAATGTTTTTGTGCGGGCTTAGAGGTTTTCCCTCAACAGCTTAAGGGCTTCGGGGTGTTAGGCTTTCAGGGCGTTGAACGCCCCCCTCTGTTCCACCTGTATCTGCCAGCGGGAGGAAGGAGGAATCGATTGGTCTTCGCAGTTGAAAGCCTCGTGGTTAGAGTTTCCTGTTGCAGGGCCCCTCAACCCTGAACCCTAAACTTTCAGGCCCAGAAGATGCTGGGCTGTACGGGCGTGATATAGATCTTAGGCAAATCACTAATGAAGCCCACAGCACGTCCGTGGGATCCTGAGATTGTGCCTTGGGTGTTCATCAGGTCGAGGCAAAGCCGGCGCGGCGATCATGTGAAATAGGATGCAATAGCGCCGCCTACCGTTAGCCGGACGGCATGAGTACCCATGAGCCACTGAGTCACTATACGCTCCACCCCAAACACCAGTCCATCTCTCGTACCTGATGGCTGGCTTACATATCCTAATATATCCAACATTGTCTAACACTAGATGAGGCCGAGCGAGACAAGTCGGGAACTTGCGTAACTGAAGTGGTGAGCACAGCTGACTTGCAGCCGAAGACGCGGGAGGCGACCAAATGTCTGCCACATCCGCTACGGGACTTCCAACTCAAGTCCTGCACTTGTCTCCCGAGTTTGCTGTGATTGAAGCCTGGCCTCCGGCAGCTTCCTGCCATTAGTTCAAGCTGTTTGTAGTCGGGCTGGGCTGGTGAACCATGGTTGCTTGGAGTGTAGGGATGAGCTCTCTCCGAAACCATCTGCGGCGTCGACACCACCCCACAGCACACAGCGAGATGCGCCACTTGCGGCCTGAACCATGGAGTTCCTTCAATGATTGTTTTGAAGCATTTGAAGCCCACGCAAGCAGCATCAGCTCGCTGGCAGCTGCGAACCTGCCGCTCAGTCTGCTAGCCTCGAACTGGCACCCCCTGATTGCTTCGTGGCGGAGTTTCGTCTTGCTTTCCAAGCTTGGCTGGTAATCGGACACGAAGCAGCACAGAATGACTGGACGCCCGAAAAGGACTGGCCTGGCTCCTCTAACATGTGTGTGCTAAAAGACGAATCTCAAAAAGCACCTGTCCTGTCAAGAACAAGGCCAGCTTTGCAGGCCTTGACATAACGGCCTCGGTCCATGGAGTAGATCTTGTTGCCCTTGCCGCTGCGACCTGAGCGTCACGAGCGACGAGAAGCAATGGCTGGAACAGCGCAACGTAATTTCGAGGGAGCAATGCCACACATGGTTTGCTAGTTGGTCAGCGACATGATCAGCTACTTGGTCAGCTACATGGCGAAGGCAGTGTGCGTGTGTGCGTGTGTGCGTGTGTGCGTGTGTGGTGTGTGTGCGTGTGTGCGTGTTGCGTGTGTGCGTGTGCGTGTGCGTGTGCGTGCGTGTCGTGCGTGTGCGTGCGTGTGCGTGCGTGTGCGTGCGTGTGCGTGCGTGTGCGTGCGTGTGCGTGCGTGTGCGTGCGTGTGCGTGCGTGTGCGTGCGTGTGCGTGCGTGTCGTGCGTGTGCGTGCGTGTGTGTGCGCGTGTGCGTGCGTGTGCGTGCGTGTGCTGCGTGTGCGTGCGCGTGCGTGCGCGTGCGTGCGCGTGCGTGCGCGTGCGTGCGTGTTGTGCGTGCGTGTGCGTGCGTGTGCGTGCGTGTGCGTGCTGGGGTGCGTGCGGGTGCGTGCTGGGTGCGTGCGTGTGCGTGCGCGTGCGTGCGCGTGCGTGCGCGTGCGTGCGTTCGCGTGCGCTGCGTGTGCGTGGCGGTGCGTGTGCGTGCGCGTGCGCGTGTTGCGTGTGCGTGTGCGTGCGTGCGTGTGCTGCGTGCGTGTGCGTGCGTGTGCGTGCGTGTGCGTGCGTGTGCGTGTGCGTGTGCGTTCGTGTGCGTGCGTGTGCGTGCGCGTGCGTGCGCTGCGTGCGCGCGTGCGTGCGCGTGGCGTGCGGTGCGTGCGGGTGCGTGCGGGTGCGTGCGGTGCGTGCGGGTGCGTGCGGTGCGTGCGGTGCGTGCGGGTGCGTGGGCGTGCGTGTGCGTGCGTGTGCGTGCGTGTGCGTGTGTGCGTGCGTGTGCGTGCGTGTGCGTGCGTGTGCGTGCGTGCGTGCGTGCGTGTGCGTGTGTCGGCGTGCGTGTGCGTGCGTGCTGCGTGTGCGTGTGCGTGCGTGTGCGTGCGTGTGCGTGGGCGTGCGTGTGCGTGCGTGTGCGTGCCTGGCGTGCGTGCCTGTGCGTGCCTGTGCGTGCCTGTGCGTGCTGTGCGCGCCTGTGCGCGCCTGTGCGCGCCTGTGCGCGCCTGTGCGCGCCTGTGCGCGCCTGTGCGCCTGCGCCGCGCGCCTGCGCTGCCGCCTGACGGCGCCTGCGCGCCTGCGCGCCCTGCCGCGCGCCTGCGTGCGCTGCGTGCGCCTGCGCGCCTGCGCGCCTGCGCGCCTGCGCGTGCCTGCGGCCTGCGGCCTGCGTGCCTGCGTGCCTGCGTGCCTGCTGCCTGCGTGCCTGCCTGCGTGCCTGCGTGCCTGCGTGCCTGCGTGCCTGCGTGCCTGCGTGCCTGCGTGCCTGCGTGCCTGCGTGCCTGCGTGCCTGCGTGCCTGCGTGCCTGCGTGCCTGCGTGCCTGCGTGCCTGCCGTGCCCTGCGTGCCTGCGTGCCTGCGTGCCTGCTGCCTGCTGCCTTGCGCGTGCCTGCGTGCCTGCGTGCCTGCGTGCCTGCGTGCCTGCGTGCCTTGCCTGCGTGCCTGCGTGCCTGCGTGCCTGCCGTGCCTGCGTGCCTGTCTGCGTGCCTGCCTGCGGCCCTGCGTGCCTGCGTGTTGCGTGTCTGCGTGTCTGCGTGTCTGCGTGTCTGCGTGTCTGCGTGTCTGCGTGTCTGCGTGTCTGCGTGTCTGCGTGTCTGCGTGTCTGCGTGTCTGCGTGTCTGCGTGTCTGCGGTTCTGCGTGTCCTGCGTGTCTGCGTGTCTGCGTGTCTGCGTGTCGCGTGTGCGCGCGCGTTGTCGCTTGTTGCGCGTGTGCTGTGCGCGGTGTGCGCGTGTGCGCGTGTGCGCGTGGTGCGCGGTGCGCGTGTGCGCGTGTGCGCGCGTGTGCGCGTGTGCGCGTGTGCGCGCGTGTGCGCGTGTGCGCGTGTGCGCGTGTGCGCGTGTGCGCGTGTGCGCGTGTTGCGCGTGTGCGCTGCGCGTGTGCGCGTGTGCGTGTGTGGCGTTGTGCGCGTGTGTGTGCGCGTGTGCCGTGTGCGCGTGTGCGCGTGTTCGCTGTGCGCGTGGCGCGTGTGCGCGTGTGCGCGCGCGTGTGCGCGTGTGCGCCGTGTGCGCGTGTGCGCGTGTGCGCTTGTGCGCGTGTGCGCGTGCGCGTGTGCGCGTGTGCGCGTGTGTGCGCGTGTGCGCGTGTGCGCGTGCGCGTGGCGTGTGCGCGTGTGCGCGTGTGCGCGTGTGCGCGTGTGCGCGTGTGCGCGTGTGCGCGTGTGCGCGTGTGCGCGTGTGCGCGTGTGCGCGTGCGCAGGTGCGCAGGTGCGCGCGTGCGCGGGTGCGCGTGTGCGCGTGCGCGCGTGTGCGCATGTGCGCGTGTGCGCGTGTGCACGTGTGCGCGTGTGCGCGTGTGCGCGTGTGCGCGTGTGTGCGTGTGTGCGTGTGTGCGTGTGTGCGTGTGTGCGTGTGTGCGTGTGTGCGTGCGTGCGTGCGTGCGTGCGTGCGTGCGTGCGTGCGTGCGTGCGTGCGTGCGTGCGTGCGTGTGTGTGTGTGTGTGTGTGTGTGTGTGTGTGTGTGTGTGTGTTTCCGATTTGAACGATCGCATCCGATCATAAACATGAATACTCTGGCATCATGGGAAGTCCAAGGGTAGCAGACAAAAACTTCCAGAGCATTGCGGAATCACATCCTCGAAATAGGGAGCCTCCAAGGGGGGGGGGGGGGGCATGAAGGGGGAGGGGGGTGGGGGCCTCGAGGCAGCGCACTAACTACTTGATTTTCACACCAATTTCGCGTCGGGATCGCTTGTTGACCCACCTGAACACTAGAGAGAAAGGTTGTACTTGAATGACAACTCTCGCAAGCTCCAAGGAGCTAGCTTTCGTGAAAAGGCAGCGATTGTTCAGATTCGCGTTTGCTGACTTGTGATGTCTTTACGGTTGACTTGCCGGCTTTCTGTGCTGCGCCCTCCACAGATCCACAGCCGCACCAACCGCTGTCCGCCACCGATGCTCACTCCACAGAGGATCACCTACACTCACCTACTATATACTACGACGTCTTCACGTCCTCTCCCACATCTTGAGAGGTGTCAGTGGCACAGCGGCATGCCAAGCGGTTCAAGCTCTGACAGAAGCTCTTGCTTCACGAACTGCTGCAATCAATGCATCAAAAGAGGGCGCCCATTTTCACAGCGAAAGCTAACAGCTCAGCGTACGACTGGTGAGCCAAAGATCCGCGACAGATAAAGTCACGTGTTCGAAAGGTGCTTCTTCACACTCGTAGTATTCTTTGTTGGCTCACCGGCATCCCTTAGCTGTACGTAGGGATCGCGTAGCCACTCGGCAAAACGTAGCAGCAAACTACTGTCAAGCTTGGTCAGACCGTCCGCCCACATCAGACGAGTCGGCACCCAATGCATCTCTTTCGGCGAAACCGTCTGCTGGATGGAGCGGATATTGACGAGGGATCTCTTGTCAGAGACATTCGGATTCTCTGCCACGACGCAGTCGTAGAGGCTCTTGGCATCGGTAACATGTCGTCCGTTCAGCTTGCAGCCAACTTTGAAAGCGGGCTCGTTGTAAAGCAGCTCAGACAAACACATGTTTGCAAAAGCCGCGCGGTCCGCGCCTTCGTCTGCTGCCGATGCTTCGGCCGCTAGGGTAGAGCGACAGACTCGAGTGCTTCTCGCACTCTTCCAGTCCAAAAGCGTAGCCTTGACCGTCTGCTCAGAAGCCTGTGGTGGGCACAGCATGACCAGTAAGCCATACTGGCTTTTGAGACTCGCGTTTGCCCAAGAAGAATCTGCAAACGTCACCACCATCGATGCAGGACTTACAGGAATGGCTTGATAAGTCAAGCCTTGGCCCTTCGTCTCCTTGAGGTAGTTTACGGTCTCGTACAAGCGCTTCAGGTCGGTGACAGAGGTCTCACCTCCGCGATTGGAGAGGCTGACGACGGCCGCAACCTCTGGTCGAGTCTGAGAGGCAAGCCATTGTATGGAGCCTGCTAGACTCCGGAACTCCTTCCACTCGTTGACCGTCAGCCTTTCGTCAGTCTTAGCCCTGCCGCGAGGCACCGAGCCGGAGGTGAGGCCGTCGATGAAGGCCGTCTGTGTCACCATGAAGACGAACTTGTCTTCCTTGACCACCTTCCGGATCTCTTTGCCCCGGTACGTGCCAGGGGAGTCGAGCTCGACGATTGTGACCGAACCCCAGACAAACATGTCCCGGAGAATGTCCGAGTCAAAGTCCTGGTGGTATGTGCACAAAAAGTCATCCACGTGCACGATCATCAGGGCCCTCAGTCGGCCGGTAGTGTCCGTGTAGTAATACAAACACTTGTCGAAGCAATGCTGCTTGAAGCCCTTCTCGACCAACTTCTTGTGCACCTTCTGATACCAGACACGAGGCGCGTCTGGAAGGCCGAAGCAGTTGCCCAGAACCTCATAGAGCTCTGAGGAAAAAGCGCCAGTCTCGATCATGAGTTCGTCACGAGGAGGGTACATGTACAGAGGGCCTGCTCGCTCCTCGGTGTTCCTTTCTCCTTGGAGGAAGGCCGATTTTGCATCTGAGACCCAAAGAAACCAACGGGCCTTCTCGTTGTTGAACTCGCCGTTGGCTCCAGCAGTAGCCACCAAGAGGACCAAAGCCTCGGACAACCTCGAAGGAGTCGGGCTGTCTCGGGTCAAGGAGAAAATGTCGGGATCCTGACACCCAATCAGCACCACCCGACATTTTGCCTTGATCTCTCCAAGGCCGCGATTCTTGTCACGGTACGCTGCTCGGCTTCGAAGAATTCGACGAGCCAGGAGTTTGTCACGAAGCACACGTCTTGCTTCGTCTGGAAGCAGTGGACGAACTCCGCCCCAGCGCATCCAGTTCTCCTCCTCGGCCCTCACAGCATCCATGTACTTTTCGATGGCCTGGCGCGGAAGCTTCATGATCTCCCTCCAGGGGATCTCTCTGTCGAGTTGCTTGAGTTCTTGGCGCGAGTGCACGCGGTCGTTGGAGGCAGTCAGGTG